CATATAGAACTCGCACCGGAATTTAACATGGAATCGGACATCGACTACACTACGAGCGCCCTGGAAGAAGTACTCGTTGCGGCAGCTAAAATCTCTACTCCTCATAGGAAAGAAGTAGACCGAAACAAACTCTTCAAATATAATCAGCAAATCGAACAGCTCGTGCGAGAAAAGAGACGCACGCGTCGTGATTGGAAAAACAGCAGATCACCAGCTTCAAAACAACGCCTTAAGGAAGCAACCCGATCACTCGACCAGGCTCTTCCCCAACAGGAAGAAAATGCACAGCTGAGGTACATCCAGAATCTCTCGCCAACAAGCACAAAGTACCCCCTGTGGAGGGCCCACCCAAATCTTAGCGCCCCAATTGAAACGACCACCCCGATAAGAAACTCTTCGGGATGCTGGGCTCGCAGCGACGAAGACCGAGCTGAAACATTCGCCACACATCTCCAAAGTGTCTTCCAGCCAAACCCAGCCTCAAATTCATTCCTACTGCCAGAAATTCAGCCAGAGTTCTCCCCTCAGACAGCCGCACCTTCATTCCGGCCGAACGAAATCGAAAAGAGGGCTAAAACCAAAAAAGGCTCCTGGTGGTGACCTATTGACCCCAAAGTTGCTGATCGAACTTCCAAAATGCGCTATAGAGGTCGTCTGCAAACTATTTAATGGAATCATTAATCTTGGCTATTTCCCAAAAAAGTGGAAGAAATCCATCATTATAATGATACCGAAGCCTGGAAAAAACCACACAATTCCGTCATCATACAGACCAATAAGCCTTCTATCTTGTTTGTCAAAATTGTTTGAAAAATGCTTGTTGACTCGCATAATACCACATCTGGAAGCTTGCAATATTATCCCGGCACACCAATTTGGCTTTCGAAAAAACCATGGAACCATCGAACAAGAGAACAGATTAACATCCGAAAAACGCTCAGCCTTCGAACAGCGAGAATACTGTAGCGCTATTTTTCTCGACGTATCTCAAGCTTTCGACCGAGTTTGGCTCATCGGACTCATGCACAAAATTAAAACGTATTTGCCAACATACACCCACAAGCTACTGGAATCATACCTCTACAATAGGGTATTCTCAGTGAGATGCAACACAGCTACTTCGAGCGACTACACCATCGAAGCTGGAGTTCCACAAGGAAGGGCACTCGGCCCGTGTCTATATGTTTTGTATACTGCGGATATTCCTACGAGCGCACAACTAACAACCTCAACGTTCGCCGACGACACCGCTATCCTTAGTCGCTCCAGACGCAGGCAACAACCCAACTGGCTAATCATCTCACAATAGTGGAAAGGTGGCTGTCCGACTGGGGCATTAAAATAAACGAACAAAAGTGTAAACATATAACGTTTACTCTTAATAGAAAAAGATGCCCTCCGCTTTTACTAAACGGTATCCAGATTCCTCAAGCTAACGACATAACGTACATTGGTGTTCATTTTAAAATACGACTTACCTGGCGTAAGCACATCGAATGCAAAAAGATGCACCTAAAACTGAAAGCCAGCAGCCTCCACTGGATCATAAACTCACGATCGCCACTGTGCCTGGACTACAAGTTACTACTGTACAATTCAGTCCTAAAGCCAATCTGGACGTATAGCTCCCAGCTGTGTGGGAACGCGAGCAGCAGCAACATAGACATCATACAGCTCGCACAATCAAAAATCTTGAGAACTATCACAGGGGCACCTTGGTATGTTCGCAATGAAAACATCCACCGGGATCTGGGCATCCTCGCAGTGAAAGACGAAATCCAGAAGCAAAAAGAGTCATACAAAGAGAAACTGTCTTCGCACCCAAATTTTCTCGCTCGGGGATTGACTCGGGTTTCTAGCGTATCCCGCCTTAGACGCAACGACCTCCCAACCCAGCAATCGATTTTTAGGGCCGTCTAACTCCGTATCAGTCAATATGACTGTTAGTTAAGTTAAAAATATAAGATTTGATACACCTCTTGTTAGTCTCGCAAAGAGAAGATTCAATAAATAAAAGCAACGTAAAATAAAAAAGAACGGAACTCAAATAAAGATATATTATTTTCAAACTATTTTGGAGCTGATATGTAATTATATAATATAAACTTGAGTATATATTTATTATATTTCAAAATAGAAATAATACATATTGTACAATTTTTTCACGAGCCTTGATGATTTGAGAAGAAGATTAAGTATCAGAGTAAAAATCATTCGCGGTTAGAAGCTGGTTCTTAAGTTCCTCAGCTCCATCACTTCCTTTAGTCAAGACCGAGCTAGAGTGCTGGCTTCAGGTTTTAAATAAGACAATTTGTAACTGTGAGTTGCAAGACCAGATCGAACAATAAGATGGGGAAGATGAATTTGAAGTCGACTTCTCAGTTCGGCATTGCCAAAATCAGACTCTTCGAGACATTAGTATGCAAAGATTTGAGAATTCCTGTTATCGAGAAATTAAATCATTTAACTTCTTGCCTCTCTGGTAAAGCCTTGGAAACTATCAAGGAATTCCAAGTCACCGAAAGTAATCGCTAGTCTAAAAAAGAGTTAACAATAACCAATGTCTCATCTGTGCGAACCAAATCCGCAAAATTTGCAAACCGCAACCAAAAAAAAAAAATACGCATCATATTAAGCTTTCCGAAAGAAGTCCCAGCAGTCTGCGTCAACAAAAAAAAAAAAAAAAAAAAAGCATCATATTAAGCTTTCCAAAAGAAGTCCCAGCAGTCTGCGTCGTCTAGAGGTCTCATAGCACAGTGTCATCGATTTACGGGTCATCATTATATGTGGGAGATGACACTAAAATTGCAAACTCGATGATTATTTATTTACTTTTGAATAGAGTGGATCCTGTCACTAGACTGAAAATGGGAAGAATCATTGGATTTTGCGAAGTTTCCGCTGTGGTCCGATTTTGATATAGAAATCGTAAATATAAAATCGTAGGTACTAGCACCTTTTTGATGAAGAGATTGGCAAGCCAAAACAGAAAAACACCAGATTCAGCAAGCAACATAATAGAAGTTCGTTAGCTTGCTTCCAACAATAAACAAGCTTGCAGTTATTGTAACGCACAAGAACATAGTCTTGCCCAGTGTAGTCCGGTCGCTCAACTTGATGTAATGCAACGGTTTAAGTTGCAGTTGCAAGTCAGTCTCATTGTGTATGAATTGTCTGCGTAAAGTCACACGGTTGCGAAGTGTAAATCGACCACTGTAAAATTTGTGCATGATCGCACCGTTCAGCACCGATTTACTGTGACTACAAATAACTTAGCGTTACCACCACCAAAAGATAATCCTCCTTCATCGCTAAATCTTGATGGTCTTTCTACGTGACATATTTTGCATGCATCATCCCTAGAAAGGGTTTTGTTAGAAACGTCGATCGCAAGCTTTCGAACTAAGAATGGTAAGCATGTATTGGCCCAAGCCCATTACTTGACTCTGGGTCACAAATAAACTTCATTTCTGAAGATCCTGCTCAACGCCTACAGATCCACAGAGATGAATCGTGTATCAACTTGATTGGAATTGGTCAAGCTAATTTGATCAATTGAGAACAATTTGAGGTTATCACCCTAACCAGTCAATGAACGTGAAAGATTGGGATCTACCAAAGAACTTACATTTAGCACACCCTTTTTTTTATAAACTTGAGCGGACACACTTTTCATGAGCCATTTTTCAAACTGTTGCCAGTTAACCAAATAAATCAAAAAACTATCCTTGGATGGATCTGTCCGTTTCGTTTACAACTGCCCTCGCTTGTCGCCGTACACGCTTGTATATGGTAGTGGTCAAAGTAAGCATCTTATGCCACACATACCGTAGGAATATCTACTATTCTATGACATATATAGAAAAAAACATACATGTATATATATGTACCTACACTTTTTTACTTCTTTTGATACCAACACTTACCTTTTTATAATCAAAAATTGAATTTCCTTTCAATGTATGTATAAAACGTTCATTTAAATGAATAATGTTTTTTTTTATTCAATAGAATATTTTTAAATTACCTTAAGTAAAGTAAAGTACCTTAAGACTAAGTTACGGAAAAGGATACTAGCAGCACTGAACTAGATGTTTCCAATGTTTTCGGCTTCTGTACCGAAATCGTGTATTATAGTTTAACTCCAGGCGCACTACTTTATTTAAGCACTACTTTATTTTTCAAAATAACTCAGTAAATCGAACATAAGTGCCAACCTGTGTTTTTGATATTGCCGTTTTAGTTCCGTTTTTGGAGGCTTTTTTTATTTGCCAAATATTTCAAATTTATTTTTTATTATAAATTTTTATTTTTTAAACAACTTGTGAATGTTACTAAAGTTTTTTTAGTGTACCGACGATAATTGCAAAATATAATTCTCGCACCAATGTATTGCTGATTTTTTGCATTGGTAAGGGAGTATGCTCTGCCGTATGCAGAGCTTTGGCACCCCCTGCATCTGAGGGAACCGAGTCTCAAAATTTGGGTTATAATAAACAGGCACTAAAATGAAAATTATATCGCTTTACAGTGTTCAATTGCTAAATATAATATAAATCTGGAAAAAATATTATATATAACTGTATAAAGAAGTAAAACTAGGGTTGATTGTGGCGTAGAAATAGTTTTTTTTGCCTAATCATTGAATAATACTATCTATATATATTATATTTTTATACCCTTGCAGAGGATATTATAATTTAAATCAAAAGGGTCCAACGCAGTGAAGGAGACATCTCCGACCCTATAAAGTACATCTATTCTTGATAAGGATCACCTCCTGAGTTCATAGAAGCATGTCCGTCTGTCTGTTTCTACGCAAACTAGTCTCTTAATTTTAAAGCTATTGACTTGAAACCCACTCTTCTTTTTTTTCCACGCAGTATATAAGTTGGAACGACCGGGATGGGCCGACTATGGCACCATATAACTGAACGATCGGAAACGACCCAACTTTCGTGTTTTTGAAGATAGAAAGCTGCAACTTAGTACAGATTAGTTCAGTTAATCCCACCTACCAAATTTTATAACCCGAAGTTAGCTTTTTTTTCTTGTTTTATATATATATTTTTTTAGGGTTGATAAACGCACTAAACGCCACGTTGAAGCTATTCGAGACAAGCTGCTCCCAATTAAAGGTAGAACTAAAGTTTCCAACAAGGCTCCGAGGGCTACAAATTTTGCGCGGCATTAACTCTGATTAATCTCTGATTAAACAGTACTACATAGTTTGAAGTTCTTCGGAGGATTTGAACATAGGAAAATTTTAGAAAGAGCAACTATTCTATGCATTACGCTACCACCCCGACACGAGCGGTAGCGATCAAAAGTACTATTTGTTTTACTACCACATCGACGCATTGAAAACAGAAACGATGAGAATATGAAACATTAATTTGGAAGCCAAAACATTTTCACGCCGTCGTGCGAGCACTGACAAATACATACAAAGGCACAAATTTTGTTTGACGCATGTAAAGAGTTTTAAAAATAGAATCGTATCCATGTGCGTTACCCCCTCACCAACAAGCTCGACGAAAAAAGTTGATTGTTTTGGCCCTTGATGTCCAATTTATGAATTGTATAATCTTTGCTATAAGCGTTGTACCAAATCGGACGAACATTAAAAAAATGCTTGAAAAGTAACGTGCTAAAAGTCCAAAATTATATCTGTTCAGCCAACGATGGAAGGCAGTGTGGAACTCTAAAGGATTTGATCCTCTTAAGGATGATATTAGGAATGGGTCAATAATTATGTAACCATCTTTTAAATGGTAACCAAATGGTAGGGCAAGAAAGAGCAACATTATTTTTATAATCAATCAAATTTCGCACATATAGCATTTTGCACTTTCTATAAACCATATCTTTTTTTTAAGGGTTTTTTAAGGGATCTATTTACAACATCTATTACGACCGGTATTAATACAAAAAATTGAAGCGTAGATTTTATTTGAGCTAATGTTCGGTTTTTTCCATTCTATTCTCTGACATACCTACATATGTAAAATTTGTATGTGTGACTGTTACAAGTTTGAGCTTCCATACTGACATGTAACTAATAAAAAAATGGTTATACATTAAAAACGAAAACATCTTTTTAACCACTTGGATTAAGAACATGCGCATTCCACAACCTGCATATCAGTCCATGTTGAAATCTTTAATTTATCGGTGTTTTCTTCGTCTACATGCAAAATTTCTAGGATGTCCAGTTTTGAAGGAGCACAACATGGGCGAGGTGCTCTGGTGTGATTTTCTTGCCATATTAAACTTTGTAATAGTGCATGATGATGGGCAGGATTGTGACGTGGAGGACAGCGTCCATGGCAATAGCCAGCATCAAACACTTTTGGTTGTAAAATAAACTCAAATCCTTTAATTTTTTTGAAAACAACGTCTAATTGATGTCTGCAGCAACGTTGGTGTAATTTATAACAATTATTATTCCATTTTTCCCTGGAATAGTTGATATCATAGTTTTGATGGTGGTGGACGTATTTTTCACTACTATTTTTACTTAGCATGATGCTATGAACTTCTTGTCCGATAATATTTAAAACCGGCATTAAATTAAATTGTTCATTATTTGGCGTAAATGCAGTTGAAGTTGTGGAGCTAACGTCATTTAATATACGAGCTCCTATATTTTTACATTTATCGCACTCAATTTCAATGCATAAATGTTCATGACTTTTGTTTAACCATCCACGAACTGCTTTTGTAACATCAAATTCAATCCACTGTGTACGAGTATCCTCGTAGTCGAGGTTCTCAAACTCAATCTTTCGAGATGTTAGCAATCTTCTTCTAGTCGTCGATAAAATTTGATATACTTTAAGATTTATTTGACGGTTTTGAGCACGCGTTTTGTATGCTTTAGGTTGATTTACCTTAATATAAGCCATTGAACAATTATTATTGGATTTTACAGAATAGCTGTGACTGTCAACGATTTTTTTTTTTCCGAATCGCCGCACATTAGATCGAAGTGCTGAACTATAAAGAAGCATAAGTCTTACATTTGCTTCGTCAATTTCATTACGTTGAATGTGGGTCTGACTTATTTGAGAAAGCGGAAAATTCAAAATAATATTTGTTTTATGCCTTTGTCGGAATCGATATTCTTCCTTAGCATTGCTTGAATTATTATAAGATCTTTTTTGTCGCCATCGATTAAAGCTTATGTCCTTAAAACTATTGGAAACAATGCTTAGTAAGCGCAGTTCCTTTAAGGGAAATAACTCTGAATTTCTGCTGTATTGTCCAGCGCCGATTTTTTGATTTCTTCTTTGACGAGCTAAGTACTCAATATATTTGTTAGAGTACTCAATTTGACTAATGTTGACCTGAAAATACATCGTAGTACGATAACATTTATTTTCACGATAAATAATTTACTTACAAAGAGAACTTATGATTTTCTATATATAACTGTAAATTAACTGTAGATATATTAATACTAATACTAATAACTGTAGATTCATATCTATAAAAAGTTAAATTTCAAATTCAAAAATAATGCGTTTTTATATTCTTGCAGAGATTATTATAGTGAAGGAGACATCTCCGACACTATAAGGTGTATAAATTCTTGATCAGAATCACCTCCTGAGTTCATATGACCATGTCGGTCTGTCTGTCTGTTTCTACGCGAACTAGTCTCTCAGTTTTAAAGATTTCGACTTAAAACCTTGAACACGGGGTGTGTTTTTTTCTATTTTTAGTCAGTTAATCCGACCTACTAAATTTCATAAGGATCGGCCGAATATATCTTATAGCTGTCATATAACTGAACGATGGGAAATGGAATTTGATAAATCTTTAGTATTTTTGAAGATAGAAGGTTGGGATTTGGGACTTTTTTTCGATTTTGTATAGTAATATACTGCTAAGTAATATGATATTCTCAAGGATTGTCATAAGGTTTGCAATATATATCCGGTTTTAACTTCAAGGGTATATCAACATTGTCTCCGCCCGAAGTTAGCTTTCCTTTCTTGTTTACAAATTAAAAATCAGTGTAACCGCCGTCATAGATTTAAGTTTATATAGTATTTGAATAATGAAAATGTTAAAATTAGAATTGGGAAATGTTTAGAATTAGTTTAGAAAAATGCTAGATGTAAAGCTAATCGATATTTGTAAAATGGCGGAATAACGAGGCGTCTGCCATCGCTAGGTGAAGATAGAGAGGCGAGGGAAACGGACGAAGCTTTTAAGCGCACGCCACACATAATTGATTTGAGTAAAAATAAAGGAAAGATATACAAAATTCCTGTTGGATTAAAAAATTCTGTAGCATCATCGCTTCGATCCAAACAATCAGTATTCATAGTATTCATACAATATGCGTTCCAAAGTAAAACGGACTGTGAATCTAGCGCCGCGAAGGCGCCATTTATATGACGACTGGTGCGTTAATCTGCTATCGTTATTGATTATCTTGTTGTTAGTCTCAATATGTTTTTATTATTGATGCGAAAGTGAGCAAAAATTGCTCAGAATCAATGCTCGCAAATAATTGTTAACCTTTTTCTTCCTTATGTTCTATTCACCAGAAAAACCGAAAAAAATATGCACAATCACTCTCTATCAGACCAGGAGACTTACCTTCTCTAGATTTTTGTTTATGGTTGAGTGTTTCAAGAGGTTCGTAAAAGCTCCTCCACTGAACATCTCTTACTGTAAGGTATGTATTCCCGCACAGAGACCCTTATTAAAGGACCGATTGACTGAAAAAGTCAAATCAAAAAGCCTTTTCAACACTATATCTATAGGGGTGCCCACTCCCATTGCTCCCATGGCTTCTTTGTTTTTGTAATTGGCTCCGAAGCATAGGCGATCAAATTCGTATATGCACACGGCTATCGGCATGCGCCAATGATAATAGCAAAATCAATTTTTACTTTCGTTTTCTTAAATCTATTCTTCATTTGCATTTGAGCAAGATAACTGGACTTGCATGTGGTTGTTGTTGGGTCATAAAATATCATGAACATTTTGTTATTGCTTTCGCGACGCGCATCCACTTGAAGAATTATATTATGCTTTTCGTTATTGCATTGTCGGCGCGTCATTTGACAAGTAAACATCACGTGGCATTTAAACTAAATTAAAAAGTGAATCGTGGATCGCTGGACGCAACATTTGTTGGAACGAAATTTCAAATGTCAATTTCATAATTGTCTTTATTATAAAGATGTATCTCCCTAATTTTTTCAGTGAATCCATTGAAGTTAAAAAAATGTTTCTTTACTAGTGTGGGTGTTTTCTTTTAAATGTATTGAAATTTGGTCCGTCGCCCATTTAATACCCATTTCATTTCATGTATTTATCTCGGTAACATTTTCGAGCGGCAACTTTTTTAAGGAACCAAAAAAATTAAGAAAATCTCACAATAAACCAAATTAATAACAAGTGCCTAAACAGAGAGTAAGATCTCGCTCTGGGGCCTGTCGCAAGAAATTTTTGCGTCCATTTTCGTTGTATGAAATGGGTAGTCCATACAGCATATGGTTAGTAGTCGTAAGCAGCGTTTGGATACATACACCTGCTTTTTAATCTGTTCGAAGCACAGTGAAACAATGTGTAACTTTTTGTTATATGTATCAATTGAAAAAAATCAATTTTTTTGTATACATGAACAGTTTTATTAATGTATATATTTAGAGTTCAGCTTAAAAACTAATAGATAGTTAAGGTTTTGGATATTTATTGAACTCCCTCGTTCACTTAGAATACTTGGGAACTTGGGGGAGTTTGGCGATTTTAGCCTTAGATTTGTATGTAAATATATAAATGTAGTTTATCGTCGTTTAATGGTAAACGACGAAACCTTTTGTCAAAGTTCTCATTTTTTTTATTACACGTGCCATTTTTGTTTCAATTATTTTGTCTACAGATCCAAATGTCACAAAGGAAAATGTAGTAATAGTCTTTTTTGCATGTACATTAGAGGTCTGCAGGAATACATTCTTATGTCTATGGCCTCATCCATAGAATACACCCGAATGGAATAGAATGAACAAATGCAAGAGACGCAACGAATTGAGTGAGAGGAAGTGAGAGAGTAAGAGAGCTTTCTAACTCATGGGGCATTTTCTTGTTTTGAAAACCGAGTGAGTTGGGGTGGGAAGTAAAAAGAGTGCTTTTGGAAAGAAAAAATGGAGCCGAATGTCTCAAATGGTTTTTAACACACTCTATGCATTCATTTATTTTCTTCTGTTGAGCAAAACGCTTCCTTTAGTACTTCTTTTATACTTGTTTGTTCGTTACTTCGGTTGTTTTTATAAATTGAACATTAGGAAAAATAAGGTTAACAGTTATTTAGGAGCTATGGTTAAAAGTTCTTTGCAAGGTATGCTCAGAATACATAATTTGAAGGTCATGATGACGAAGGAAATAACTTTGGTGTCTTTAAAGTTAGAGAGTTCAAATTTCACATGAGAGCTACTTTTGGCTAGAGCTACTACAAAATAATACGACATGCCAAATTTCATAAGGATCGGCCGACTATATCCTATAGCTGCCATATAACTGAACGATCGGAAATAACCCAACTTTCGTGTTTTTGAAGATAGAAATCTTAAACTTCGTGCAAATACCACTTTTGGTCAGATAATCAGACCTACCAAATTTCATAAGGATCGGCCGACTATAGCTATATATACTATAGCTGCCATATAACTGAACGATCGAAAATTACCCAACTTTCGTGTTTTTGAATATAGAAATCTTAAACTTCGTGCAACTACTACTTTTTGTCAGAAATTCAGACCTACCAAATTTCATAAGGATCGGCCGACTATATCCTATAGCTGCCATATAACTGAACGATCGGAAATAACCCAACTTTCGTGTTTTTGAAGATAGAAATCTTAAACTTCGTGCAAATACTACTTTTGGTCAGATAATCAGACCTACCAAATTTCATAAGGATCGGCCGACTATAGCTGCGGGCGACTATAGCTATATATGTACTATAGCTGCCATATAACTGAACGATCGGAAATTACCCAACTTTCGTGTTTTTGAAGATAGAAAGCTGGATCTTGGTACAGATTATATTTTTGGTCAGTTAATCCGACCTATCAAATTTTATAACGACCGGCTGATCTTATAGCTGCCATATAACTGAACGATTGGAAATGGTTTTTGGTAGAAATACCAACTTTGGTATTTTTGAAGATAGAAGTTTGGGACTTTTTTTTAGATTTTATATAATAATAACTTGAGTTATATTATCATATTCTCATAAGGATCGGCCACCTATATCCGATGTTTGTCGATATATATCCGGTTTTTACTGCAAGGGTATATCAACTTCGGCTCCGCCCGAAGTTAATTTCCTTTCTTGTTTTTACTTTTTATACCCTTGCAGAGGGTATTATAATTTTGGTCAAAAGTGTGCAACGCAGTGAAGGAGACATCTCCGACCCTATAAAGTATATATATTCTTGATCAGGATCACCTCCTGAGTTGATATGAGCATGTCCGTCTGTCCGTCTGTCCGTCTGTCCGTCTGTCCGTCTGTCCGTCTGTCTGTCCGTCTGTCTGTCTGTTTCTACGCGAACTAGTCTCTCAGTTTTGAAGCTATCGTCTTGAAACTTTGCACACACCCTTCTTTCCTTTGCACGCAGTATATAAGTCGGAACGGCCCGGATCGGCCGACTATATCCTATAGCTGCCATATAACTGATTGATCGGAAATGGTATAACTTTGGTGTTTTTAGAGTTAGAAAGTTCAAATTTGACATGAGAGCTATTTTTGGCAAAACATTACGTCATGCCAAATTTCATAAGGATCGGCCGACTATATCCTATAGCTGCCATATAACTGAACGATCGGAAATGACCCAACTTTCGTGTTTTTGAAGATAGAAAGCTGGAATTTAATACAGATTCTATTTTTAGTCAGTTGATCCAACCTACCAAATTTCATTAGGATCGGCCGACTATATCCCATAGCTGCCATATAACTGAACGATCGGAAATGGTATTTGGTAGAAATATCAACTTTCGTATTTTTAAAGATAGAAGTTTGGGACGTTTTTTAGATTTTGTATTGTAATAAATTGGATTATATATTCCTATTCCCATAAGGATCGGCCAACTATATCCGATGTTTGCGATATATATCCGGTTTTAACTGCAAGGGTATATAAACTTCGGCTCCGCCCGAAGTTAGCTTTCCTTTCTTGTTTTTTCCTAAATTGTATAAAAATAAACATTATTTTCAATAAATGTAAAAAAAATTATCCGTTACTGAGTCGTTTTTAAAAAAGTTCGCCCCTTAAATGAATTGCAAGATTCAGAAATTTTGTTTCAGTTAAAACGGGACAGATATTTGGACATTCATATGTATGAAATTCATTAAATATAGCTTACGTATTTACATACACATGCGGAAAGACAAATAAAATATTTTCTTATCATGTCAGAAGTCTAATCATGAAACCTCTGGCTATGTATGATTCTCAAAAACACTTGAATCTCCGAAAATACTCCAAAATTTTTGTTACTCAGAAATTTTTATTTCTTTTTATTTATTTACTATAGGGTTTTTTTAACATGGTGAACATGATTCATGAACACGAGAAAAGAGTAACCCTTTAAACAATCTTAAGAAATTAGAATTAGTATCATCGCTCCGTGTTTTCGGTGTGTATGTGCTCCGTGTTACCAATGTTGAAATTGGTACAATAAGCAGGTAATTCCAAAGTCCAAAGCTGCCAACTATAGAGGCATCTCTAAGTTTTCGGCTATTCCAAAGTTTGAAAAACAAGAAAGAAAAGCTAACTTCGGGCGGAGCCGAAGTTGATATACCCTTGCAGCTAAAACCGGATATACCCTATATCGCAAACATCAGATATAGTTGGCCGATCCTTATGATTACATTATAATAAAACTTGATCAAGCATTGAACACTATTTTATAAAGAAATTCTTAAGTTAGAGTTTCAAGGGATCGGTCCCATGAAATACGAGTCAAACAGCATGGTTTAAAACCGATCCCATGCAGCCTACACAAATATGTACTCAAGTGGTGCGCTTATCGCACTGAAGAAAGGGTCGCATAGCAGGTCAGCGTGCAGTGCGTTGACAAGTAGTTTTAAATAGATTTAAGATTCTCATGTATCGTACTTATAAGAGAAATTTACCAAATAAAATGAGTTTCCAAAAGGAGCTCATTGGAGTAAGACCTATTTATTTAGGGCTCCTCTTAACAAAACCAATACATTAAAATAAAAAATCTAAAAAAAATTCCCAAGCTTCTATCTTTAAAGTATTTTCGTTACCAAATACCATTTCCGATCGTTCAGTTATATGGCAGCTATAGGATATAGTCGTCGGATCCTTATGAAATTTGGTAGGTTTGATCAACTGACCAAAAATAGAATCTGTACTAAATTCCAGCTTTCTTTCTTTCAAAAAAACGAAAGTTGGGTCATTTCCGATCGTTCAGTTATATGCCAGCTATAGGATATAGTCGACCGATCCTTATGAAATTTCGCATGTTGTAATGTTTTGCCAAAAATAGCTCTCGCGTCAAATTTAAACTCTCTAACTCTAAAAACACCAAAGTTGTACCATTTCCGATCAATCAGTTATATGGCAGCTATAGGATATAGTCGGCCGATCCGAGCCGTTCCGACATATATACTGCGTGCAAAGGAAAGAAGGGTGTGTGCAAAGTTTCAAGACGATAGCTTTAAAACTGAGAGACTAGTTCGCGTAGAAACGGACAGACAGACAGACGGACATGCTCATATCAACTCAGGCGGGGATCCTGATCAAGAATATATATACTTTATATGGTCGGAGATGTGACCTTCACTGCGTTGCACACTTTTGGACAAAATTATAATACTTTCTGCAAGGGTATAAAAAGTAAGCAATATAAAAAAAAATTCGACGTGTGTCGATAGATAAAAGTATTTTCAATAAACTGCCAAAATCGATTTGTTCGAGTTATGTTTCCGGCAGAGTTATGTTTCTGGTTTTAAGTACTGTGGGATATACCTGTGAGGCGTCGCCGCAGAATGGAAATAAAAACTTTTGCGGGACTCTATCTTTTGATATGTTAATTTTAAGGGGTTATATACCTTTTTTATTTTCAAAAAATCGAAAATTTTTTTTATTGCTTTATCTTGAAGAACAACTCCTTGAGAATATTTTCCCAAATTTTCATAGAGATTGGAGCAGTAGAAAAAAAGTTACAGCGCTCCTAGCCGCGCGCCTTGTCGCGGCCTTGCACTGAAATTTTTTTTTAAATGTTCGTAATGAAATTCTTCTCTGCTTGAACGATCGACTTTTCACGCACAAACTTTTTTTTCGCCAAAATGAATTTTTTAGTAAAATTTTTAGAGACCAAAACGTTCATTTGTAGCATAAAACGTTCCCAAAAAAAACAAAACATAAAAAAACAAAAAATTTTAAAACCGATCGTTCAAGCACAAGGAAATACACTAAACTAATGAAATTTTTTTAATTTTATGGTTTAAGTTGACCTATTTGACCTGGGGAACTGTCACCGCAAGGCTCTAAAAAACAGAAAGCCTGTAAGGGAAACAGCTACCCCTTAAAAACTATTTAATGTTTTTTCACCAAATTTTGCACAAACATTGTTAATAAAGCGTTCTATCAAAAAATTAAAACATCCGTGTAATTAAATAATTGCTACACACCTAAAAAAAAATCCGAACTTTCCTCTTTTTCTTCGACAAAGAAGGTATATATCCCCTTAAAAACCTAAAGAATTTGTTAAGCAAAAAAAAATTTGTCGATTTTTTCAAAACTCTACTCAGATGTTCCCCCTTAAGCGAACAAAGACGAATGTAGTAAGAGAAAAAGCACCATTGAGACAACGCGTGGACACGCGAAGATCATTGGCATCATACAATCACTTGGCATTCCAATATGATCCCATCCGAACTACAAAATGTGTTGATGAAAATTTAGATATTGGACCAATGACGACTATATTCCAATAGTGCAATGCGTTTAAGTTCAAAAGAGAAACGGCTGGACTGTGCTGCGCAAGTAGAAAAGTCAACCTGGGTCCATTACTTACACCACCACAGCCACTGAAAAAATTTTTTGATGGAAGTGATCCCGATTCCAGCCATTTTCTTCAACACATCCTTGAATACAATAACTGCTTTCAATACAATAACATGACTTCCTCTGGAGCTAATATTATTCAAAGGGGCCGCCTTCATGCCGACTTGCAAGGTAAAAGATACAACACACAAAACCACAACACAACAACTACATAAACACCACACACTACACCATCACTAGATCAGAAGTTACACCGTATTCTACAACAAATGATTGTATACAATTACAGATTCAAGGACAAATAGATCATTTTCATGGTTCAATGGTGCCGACACCAGATGTAAGTAAACTAATAAACTTACTAATAAGTAAATTATCCAATGAAGTTTTTAAACTCTCTGAAGTTACCAGGATTTCCACCACATAACTTGCAACTAAAAGTTGGTATGTTTTCTTTTGATGTTATTTTTAAGACATTGAAGAATTTTTATAAACTTGCAGAGGGTATTATAATTTTGTCCAAAAGTATGCAACGCAGTGAAGGAGACATCTCCGACCCTATAAAGTATATATATTCTTGATCAGGATCACCTCCTGAGTTGATATGAGCATGTCCGTCTGTCCGTCTGTCTGTCTGTTTCTACGCGAACTAGACTCTCAGTTTTAAAGCTATCAGCTTGAAACTTTGCACACACCCTTCTTTCCTTTGCACGCAGTATATAAGTCGGAACTGCCGACTATATCCTATAGCTGCCATATAACTGATTGATCAGAAATGGTATAACTTTGGTGTTTTTAGAGTTAGAGAGTTTAAATTTGACACGAGAGCTATTTTTGGTAAAACATTACGACATGCCAAATTTCAGCCGAAAAAAGGATCGGCCGACTATATCTTATAGCTTCCATATAACTGAATGATCGGAAATGACCCAACGTGTTTTTATAGATAGAATGCTAAAACTTAGTACAGATTCTAATTTTGGTCAGTTGATCCAACCTACCAAATTTCATTAGGATTGGCCTACTATATCCTATAGCTGCCATATAACTGAACGATCGGAAATGGTATTTGGTAGAAATATCAACTTTTGTATTTTTTAAGTTAGAAGCTTGGGACTTTTTTTTAGATATTTTATTGTAATTAATTGGTTTTATTATGATGTATTCATAAAGATCGACCAACTATATCCGATGTTTTCGATATATATCCGGTTTTAACTGCAAGGGTATATCAACTTTGGCTCCGCCCGAAGTTAGCTTTGCTTTCTTGTTTAAGCTAAAAAAAAATTTCGATTTTTTCAAAACTTTACTCAGATGTAGAGTTAACAAATCTTAGGACAACGCTCCTACGAGCTGCTTAACCTAATGCAGTTTTTCTGCATAACCTAATTAATGGGGATTTAGATAGGCGGCATTTACTAACACGCTCAAATTTTAGAATTCCCAGTCCTTTATTCTTTAGCCATTGTAGTTCGACATATGCACAGCAGCAAAAAAGAGTAATAATCAAGTCGTTATCTAAAAAAGAATGTGTAAATTCTCTAGTCAAGATAGAAAATATATATATTTCTGAATTATTTCGTATATTTGCGTATCTTTTTCACGATACCCTCGGAAATACATAAATCCCACGCCGTTTTACTTAAATTATACAATATTTTTCTATATACCTGGAAACGCAATAGAGTTGGACAAATATCGATGTTGCCCCGCAAACCATCGATGTTACCGATGTTATTGATGTTTCCAAAAAATCGATGACATCGATGTTTCTTCACTTGTATCAAGCACCGAGCAGGAATCGGTCACTTGTACATGTGCACATACATACGTATGTTGGGATATGGGCACATGAAAAAAAAATAAAAAATTTCATTATATGTTAACTAAAGTCGCCCAATTTAGCTAACTTTGATATAATTAATATATGTATTTTATAATTCAATTTTGAACTGCTTAACCTCACCTTTTTCATATCCGGTACTTTTTTCATTCGAAGACCATTTAAAACTAGTCGCATGAGTCTTGTTTCATCTATTTGCGGCTCTGCAGTTTTAAATTTGTATTTTTTATTTAATATTTCAGTTGGGGTTTGAATGTCTCTCGGATATCTTTCATGGAAAAACGGTAGTTTGTTTCTCCAAAGCGAACTTTTTTGGTTCCACAAACCGTTTACGGGTTTAGACCTTAGATTAATCAGTCGATATATGTTTGAACGATGTGAGCCTCGAGTAACCCTTTGTTTATCAAAAAAATTATCTTTTCTTGTTTTTTTAATATCTATCTTTTCGTGATATTCTTTGTTAAATTCTTTTAATGGAAAAAATAAAAAGGACACATTTTTATTGTAGCTCAAATTTTTATTAAAATTTGAAGCATCAAAAAACGAGGAATTTGATGTTTGGCTGAATCTTGTTTGACTATTTATTTTCTGGGTTGGCAGCAATAAAATAAAGAAAACCCATATTTGTATGTCCTTTAGGATATTCCACATGATGGTTCTTGCTATAATTGATTTAATATTAGTAGACATTGATTTATTTTTGATGTATGTACATATATGTATATCTCAAATGTGTGCGTTACTGAAATAAAATAGGCTTGATGGTGCTTTTAAAGTTTAAATTTGATTTTTTGCTTATACCGTTTTGTCCCACACAGCAATGCAAGGTCTAATATTCTTATTTCTCCAAATGCTTGTCAAGACTTATTTGCACTGCCTCCATTCTTTGTACAACTACATTTATACATTCATACGTACGTATGTAAGCACCTGCATACATATGTATGTCCATATGATTATATTCCTAAATTTTTATTGAATTCATTTATGTATATATATGTATCTATCATACATATGTAAGAGTTGATTATATGCTTGTGTAATCATAAAAAATTTTTTTCACGTCTATAATTTGATTATTCAATATGTTTTTAGATTCTATAATTTTTTCTATAATACATAAATGTATGAATACATGCATATGCATCTGTACATTGGTATACAAATTAACTTCTGATTACAGCTTTGGTAATTTAAGTAAATATGTGTATTTAGGTGGTGTTTTTTGTATGTAACTCTCATGTGAATTATGTATGTATGTACGTATGTCCACACTTTAATTTAAAAGCATGCCAAGCTTGTTCGGGCGTCAACTCGTCGAATTAGACTAAAACATTTTCATACAAACATACATACCTCACAGAAAATACTTATGTACATACATACATACATATGTATGTCCGTATTTAACAAGAGAAATAATCAAGACAGGTCCACCAATACACCCACATACATACATATATAAATACACTGAGCGTCAACAGGTTTAAGCCATGATTCAATTATACAAGGTAGTCTCGTCAGCTATCAAAATGTTTCAGTGCGTACTCGTTTTTCTTAGGTTGTCTGTATACATACGTATTTTTTCTAGCCTTGGCCCTTATGAAACATTCCTTTTTTTTAAAGTGTGCCGAAAATGGCGTATCAGGGAAACAAAATGTTAGGAAAAACAAACGTTATGAGAACTCGAAAAATTCCGAAACGCATTTTAGGGATATGCGTTGACAGTTAAAGACAACATAGTTCAACTATAAACCATAGCTTGCAAATAACTGTTAACCGATTTCTGGGGTATCAAAATAAGTGATGTTCAATGAGTCTTTTAGCAAAAAGTCTGAAAGAAACCGTTTCCATTGTTCGTATGACCACTTTGCTCTCGCTCAAATGACGAATATTTTCTGTTCCCTTTTGCTCTTCTCCTTCCAGGGCCGTTTGACTTTGTGAGCCTATTCAAAAAGTCTTTCTTAGACTTTTCTTTTTCTAGAAAAAGTTTTTTTTTTAGTTAGTGTCAAAGTTAGTGGATCTTGTTTCATTTCCCTTTGTGACATTTGGATATTCAGAGAAAATAATTAAAACGAAAATGGGACGGGAAATGAACAAAAATTATAACGACAATATACTACATTTTTATACACATGTAGGGCTAAAATCGGCAAACTTGAGTGCGATTGCACATGTAGTCTTGGCCATCCCGGCTACTAAAAGTATCTGTTGAGAGAGCATTTTCAGCTTTACAATTTATTCTAAGCGAAGGACGGAGTTCAATAAATACCCAAACCCCTTAATCTTTATTGTTGGGCTGAACTTTAAATAAATATAATAGAAAACAAAATTATAAAAAAAAATTACTTTTTCATTCAAAAAGTTAAACATTGTACCACTGTGCATCGGACAGTGAAAGTGTTGAAAATACTTTTTGAATTGACTTTTTCGGTCAATCGGTCTTTTAATGAGGGGTTCTCTGCGACCGTCAATCATATCTCTCAGTGAGCGATGTTCAGTAGGCGAGCATTTTACAAAACTCTCAACGTAAAACATTCAACCAAAAACCAAAATCAAAAGAAAATAAGAAAGAAAAGCTAACTACGGGCGGAGCCGAAGTTGATATACCCTTGCAGTTAAAACCGGATACAGTTGGCCGATCCGTATGAGAATATCATAATATCTATATATATAAAAATGCTCTGTTCGTATCTACGTCATTTATAGACTTGAAAAGTTCTGAACCGTTTGAGCCCAAATTTTTACCCAACATGCGTTGAGGTTCCAGCTCGGTTTATGTCTACTTTTGATGTTGATAGCTTATCTGCGTTTGCGAATATATCCGTTTTTTCGCGTTTCCCCGTGCCCCTACTTTTCTATTTAGGAAGACAGCTAAGAAGAAAATGTCAAATGAAAATGTCAAAATGTCAGAAACCATGATACAATTATATATAATATAATATATAATATTAATATAATATAATATTATATAATATATATATAATTGTCAGAAACGAAGTCATGCCACCCAAGAAGTCGAATTTTGGTCGTCTTACTCGCAATACAAAAGACGTAACATTTCGAATAGGACTGACGAAGAGCGGGCCTCCATTCGAGAGACTGAGCGGCACCACCAGAGCCTCTGCACTCTCTATTAGCTGGCTCTACTGCTGAATCGAAGCATTTCCTGTCGAACATTAGGAAATACAACTCTTGCTTCTAAATGACGTCATTTGGTTCGGAAATTATAACTGCGCAATTCATGCCAACTTTTAAAATCAAAGGACAAATCTATCACAAAGCCGGTTCCCTGCTTCCGTTCTCAGACAGCGAACACAAATTTCTTCAAATGTAATTCATTGGTAATGATGGAGCTGAAGTCGATGCACGTTATGAAATCAATACCTCGGTGAAGAAGCCCATTATTTCGCAGCTACATTTGGTGCGTTTGTTCAAAACAGCAATCGATATGATGCCTTCGGATACCCATAAAATTGTCAATTATGCCGACAAAACACCTGCTGGAGAACATATCAGGAGTTGCAATGCTCCGACTATAGACGAAGTGGCAATTAACATAGTCGGGGATCAGTTCAAACCTCGAGATGTTGTTCTCCATCGACGAAACGATCGATTGGTAAACGTCGCAGAAACTCACCGTTGTTACGATGCTTTGCAGTATCCACTCATCTTCTGGGATGGTGCCGATGGATATCATTTCAATGTGAGGATGGCAGATCCAGTCAATGGTGTACAAACAAATAAAAAGTGCAGCGCGATGAACTTTTACTTATACCGATTAATGGTTCGGAGGACCGATGACAAGCATATATTGAAATGTCGTCAGTTGTTTCATCAGTACATTGTCGATATGTATGCCAAAATTGAAACAGAACGTTTGTTGTTCCTCCGATTGAATCAGACGAAACTTCGGTCCGAGAAATATATCCATTTACGGGATGCTGTGATGAATGACCGTAATACAACACACGTTGGAAAGCTCACGATTTTGCCATCCTCATAAATAGGTGCCATCCTCCACGAAAATTATTCTTTTTTGTTTGACTTATTTCTTATGCGTGCAACCACAATATGCCACAGCGAAACGTGGCAGGGTACTGCTAATAAATAATTTTGATTTTTTCATTTTTCATTCATTTCATTTTGGATATTTCGGACAGATAATGATTCACACCTTAACAAACCAGAGTGAATCCAGGTGAATCTGTTAAGTTCTACTTCACGAAAGACTGTTGTGCGCTCTATTCCGCGCATTGTTAATACACTTAATATCCACTACAATTTATAAGTAACACATATACTGACACGTCACTAGCACAGATTTTCTATGCAGCACATACCTTAATAGTTGTTAAAAACCAAACTTGCACTAGAGTAAACGTAAATTGCACTACTTATTCAAATATGCAACCAATAAGCAAAAGGGCGCCATAATTTTATAAATAAATGTAAATATGTTTTGATGTGTTAAATTATAGTTGGTTATCCCTCGCTGCAGTCAGTAGTGTCGCAAACGCTGGAGAGATGATGGGCTAATTACCCCTGGCGGTTGCCGGGGGGGGGGAGGGAGTTGCTACTCCTTGTAGGTAGTGGTTTGGATCCCTGGCGGTTGCCGAGGGTGGTGTTGCTCTTCCTTGCAGGTGACGAGCGATGTTTAGATCCCTGGCGGTTGCCGAGGGAAATCCCTTCTATGACGAGAGTTACGATGGGAGCACTTGCTCCGTTGTCACGGCCCTTGAGGCGCGGTGACCAATTCAAAAAAATAAATTTACTGTTTAACGGCTATGCCGGAGATTGAAATAAAGTCCTCTTTATTGAGTGACGTTCTGATACAAACTGAAACTTAAAGCTAACAAAAAGTATTTCATAGCGGCCACGCAAATGTGCAGTGCTTGCCGCTATGTATGGGCATCCGGCCAGACGCTGTGTCAGCAGTTTGGCCAGAGCGAGCTCTTAAATAATCGGACATTGCCGCTGCTTGGTTAACTTCAGTAAACTACTCCCCCTTCAAGAATGAGGCCGCCCTTGGCCGACCCTATTTGGGCAATCATCTCCTTCAGTTGGGCCGCGGTTTTTCCGGCCTGAGTGACTCGCCGATAGGTCAAGCCGATACAAATTAAAGCGCAGGATATTGCTCCCGCTATGAACACCAATTGATGTAACTGATGGTGGTTAATCTTCTTCCCGAACTCTTTAATATGCTCCAGATTACGTTCACTCAACCAGTGAAGGTAAGGAAGGCTAAGAACGTTACATTTCATGGTGACGTTCAGGGAAGGTGAGCTGGCCACTCCTGGAGCCCTCTTCTGGGCTGTGTCATGATTGACCAATCGGGTTTCATTGACAATGGCACTCTTTTCAAAACTGACGAGATATGTGCCCCTAATATAAATACAGGTGCCATTATCCACACACACGCGAGCCGAGCGATCATTTACAATTACTATCCCCTCATCAACGTAAGTGATGGGGTGTAAATCGCTTTGTTGGATCTCGCAATGCGTGTCTCCAGCGTGAAGCTCTTGGGCGCATGATCTTCTGCTAGCCAGCCGGCAAAATGTAGCTCCTGATACCGGGGAGCATTTTTCCACGGTGTGGATCTCACCGTCGCATTCGGCAATGACGTTGTCTTCCAGCCTGAGCATGGTGTCGCGATGTG